TGCAGGTTTCCTCACGATGTTTTCCTTCACTGCCGAGCATGTGGTAAATAATCACTTAAAATTGCATTCTACAATTTCATTGCTGCCGGCGGGGATCGAACCCGGGTTGCTCGCATACTGTGAAATTTACAGCTAAGCATCTGAGCTACCAAGTCTCTAATTTCAGAAAATCATTATTCTTGCATACAGTTCATAAAATTAAAAAAAAATCAGTTCTCATACAAACCTCTGAATACTTATTTATTTTAATTACTTTTAGATGAATACCTGAATGTTATGCTACAATATTATATGCTAATTGATACATTCTTAACTCTATATTACTTTAATGACATTTATTCAAATACGTATATATAGTAAGAGATATGGCGATGTAAGATTTATGATTCATTCATATTATTTTGCTAATGGGAGAATGTTTGCCATAGTTGTTACGCTTGGCAAATGGGTTGGCAACCGCAGTTTCCGGTAGATCTGGTAAACCTCAAAACTTGAAAACAAGATTTTACAACCAGTGCGTGATGGCAGTGATGACATGTCGATCTTAGAAGTGGTCATTCACTGCTGGCTATGTCAGAAATCTCATGGTCGCTCTGCCAGCTACAGTGAGAGCCATGTGTAGGGTTTCTTTGCGTGATAGACATAAAAATAAGGATATCTGCTTTAACCAGAACCAGAGTAACCGACATAACCCAACGGATTCGTACGCTGAAGTGGCAATGTGCCGGCCATATAACTCGAAGAAACAACAACCGATTAAGAATAAAGATTCTCGAATAGCAATCTCGTATCTGTAAGCCAAGTGTAAGGTGGTCCACTAGATGGAGTGACGACGTGGTGGTAAGTTATGCAGGATGTCGATGGATGCAGGTAGCTCAGGACTGTGCTTTGTGGCGTTACTTGGGTGATCCCTAAGTTGAGCAGTGGAATTTTGAAGGGCTGTAATGATGATACATATTACATTTCTTTTTATTAAATTTTTCAGGCACATCTAGAAATTTGTTCGTACCTACCACGCTTCACAGGCGTTGGTGAGCTTAGAATCGACACCAAACTATGAGATTTAAGTTTTGGCATTTTGAAGTCATATTCCAGTACTTTATTAGTCGTTATACTCGTCCGTTAGCTAGTAGGACACAAGATGGGAAGATCAATTTGTCATTTTGAGAAGTTGTGAGAGTCCTCTTTTACTGCTATCTCAATAAACTTTTGATTATTTTCATCGCGCTAACACTACAAAATCTAGGATTTTGTTTACTATTCAACGCTTTTCAATGCACTTTACCTATCAAGAAAATGCAGAAGCTATCTATCACAAAGTTTAAAATGTTTAATAAGGGGGTATACTATTAAAGAGTACATAGTTGATAATAAACCCTGGAAATGGGATGACGAATGTTTGCATACTTAAATATATAAAATATTATTATCATCATCATCATCATTACAGCCCATCACAAGTCCTATAGGCCTCTCCCAAAGAATTCCAAAAAGCACGGTCGTGAACCACCTGCATCCATCGACTTCCTGCATGTCTTACCGGGTCGTCACTTCATCCAGTGGGGTTCATCACCTAACACTTCCCCTGCCGGTACGTGACTGCCACTCGACAACCTTTTTCCCCCATCAATTTTTTTATAACATTGGGTGACAAACGAGTACACAGTCCACCTGATGGTAAGTGGATGCTGTTGCCCATAGAAATCCATATTTACCGTCAATTAAAATCAAAATGCAAATGCGTTGTCATTCCTGAGGACTAAGATGGAATGCCTCGATTCCAGTAAAAAGGGTCTGCGGTTATCTACACTCACCATACGAAACACACCAGCATTACGCTGAGGACGTGTTCCTGCACCGGTCGAGCCGACCCATTCGTGCTACAACTATAATATAACTACAGTGTGGCTCTACCACGTAAAAAACGTGGTTATCAGTTCTTCGAGCTATATGGTCGGCCCATTGCAACTGCAGCTTATTAATTAATTCGTTGGGCTAAGTCGGTCACTCTGGTTCTACTGCGGATATCCTCATTTCTAAGTTTATCACGCAGAGAAACCCATTATCCATAGCTCGCTGAGCGACCTTAAGCTCTCTCATACGGCTAGCAGTGAAGGACCACGTCTCAGATCCATAAGTCATCACTGGCAACACGCACCGGTTGTTCAATCCCATTTTCAAGTTTTGTGGTATATCTGCCAAGAAGATTTGTCGTAATTTCCCGAACACTTCCCAGCCGAGTTGAATTCGTCGATTGATCTCTCGGTCAAAGTTGAACATACCTAGTCGGACTATTTGTCCCAGGTAAACATACTCGTCAAAGACTTCGAGCTTAATACTCGCAACTAAAGGCATATGTGTGACATGGACGTTAAACATGATCTATGTTTTGTCTATGTTCATCTTAAGACCTATTCGTTGGGAGGCACTATTTGAAATCATTAAGCAAAGTGCTTAGGTCCTCCAGCGATTCTGACATAAGGGCTGTATCGTCGGCAAATCGAGGGTGAGTGGTGTACTCGCTATTGATGTTAATACCGTATCCTTTCTAGTCCAAAAGCTTGAAAACTTCTTCCAATGTGGCGGTGACGATTTTCGGGGATATAATGTCACCCCATCTTACACCTCCCTCCCCCGTTGGATAGGCTTCATACTCTGGTTCTGTACTCAGGTAGCCATCGTAGCCCAACTGTACAAACACTTTTGCAATTCGATATACTGACAGTCAAATTAGTACTGCTGAAGGCACTGCCAGTACCGCGCAAATTTCTACGGAATCAAAGGCTTCCTCATTATCCAGATACGCAAGACACAGTGGCAGATTTTACTCCTCGGTCTTCTGTTCAATTAGCTGCAGAGTATGTATGTAGTCTATGGTGCTATATAACCTTTTCGGAAACCAGTTTATTCGGGAGGCTAGAAGTCATTGAGCCTGCGTGCGAGACGATTCGTAATGACTCGAAAATATTACGTAGACGCGGCTCAGAAGGGAAATCGATCTGTAGTTCTTCAAGAGAGCGTTGTCGCCTTTCTTGAAGAACAAGATCACCACACTACTGCTCCACGCCTCCGGAGTAGTGCCACCATGGAAGACAGAATTGAAGAGCTTCTGTAGAACCTTACAGAAGCTTGGCTATAATTCTATCCTCGTCTGGAGACTTGCCGTTTTTAAGGTGCTAGAGAGCCATTCTAATCTCGATCAGACTGACGGCCTGGATATCATCGCAATAGTGTCGGTTTTAGACTCCCGGATCATCACTCATACTTGTGTGTGCCTCCAACAATGATACCAACAATAAGAAGGTAATTTTATGGATATTATAGCGTTTAGTAAATCTGCAATATTTCGATTGCTGCGCGGAACCCTTGGTTATGAAGGACCAATTGGCTTATTCGATAATATTTTTACTCGATTGCTCCATGTGTGTGATGTTTTTCGAGTTATGTATGTACGTATGTGTGTTGATGTGTACGTATTTATGAATGAGTGTCTATTTCTTTAGCACGCTCTGTAACTTATACGGCTTGATGGATTTCAACGTAATATGGGCATCGTAAGGTTCGTCTTAGTTATGGATGTGACGTGCCATAGAGTATAAGAATTAGTGTGTAGTCGTTTTTTAAAATAACTGTTTTAACTGTTGTGAGCTTCGGTCTGATGTATCGACGAGATTGGAAAAAAGTCGAACAACAAGCTTGAAACTAGTTGCAATTGCCAGATAATACGAAGCAAAGGTTTAGGTTTATTAAAACTAAGTATATTATAATTATCCTTAAATGACAGATCGCACAGACAATGCATCGGATAGGCAAGGAACGGCGACAATAATGTCCTCCGGATCGAATCAGTCTCAACTGAATCGGAGTCACATGAGCAGAACAGGATTATAGTGGCCGCGTGTATGCGCAAGTACCGGCGTAGGACCAAAGGCGCGGGAGTGGAACACCGCCATCTTCCTAAATCCGGAATTATGTTGGGCATTTCTTGACAAAAAAAACATTTACTGATTTTGACCCAACCCGGGATTAAACCCGGGATCTCATGATCAATCACAATGTTAAAGGAATAAGGATAAGCGAGTATCTGAACGGTACCAAAAACTTTTCGTTTCTTTAAACGGAAGATGTCGATGTTTTCATAATTATGTAATACATATTTTAAGTATATAAAATTCATTCTATTCATAAATAAAATAGTGAAATGGAGGTTACAAAAAATATTTTTGTAATTATTTATTGCTATTATTTTACACGGTGAAATAATTTACTTGAATATTAAAAACTATGTATAAACCCGATTTTTACTATTGCGCTATATACTATCGTTAACGTATGCACAGCACAATTTAATTACAATATGTCCTATTAATACATATAACACCAACTAATACATCTTTAATACAGATCTGAATGAACATAATAATAGGAAGATTTAATTACAAACTTTGATATTATACAAAAATATTAACTAGCACCTTTTTAACTTTTTCATATATAGTAAGTATTAATTAAATTTTTGTCTTCATGAAGGTATTTTAAAAAAGTAGAAAAATACTATTTTCTTTAAAACTGCATTGGTTGCTTATGTTATTATTGAGAACTTTATTATTGGGCTCAGAATATGTCCGAGAGATCAACGAATACTTTAAAAATAATACTTAAATTAATATGAACAATCTAATACACATAAAACACAAACTAAATAACTAAACTAGAAATCTAATACATAAAAAACACAAGATAAATACATTCGTACGAGTCGCATAAATTGGCCATTTACAAAAATATTTTATAAAGTAAAACATAAAAAATTGATGTTTAATTAAAATATATAAACAACTTTTGAATATAAATAGAATTTAATTCAAAAATAAAAAAGTGATCTTAATACGACTATTATGCGTGCCTTAAGGCTCCATCTAGTATCAAGTAGGAATAACTATTTAATTATTTGAAAAAACGCATAAAAATTACATCACAATTAACATTATATAGAAGATTTAATTGTTGTTAACAATTGTGCATTGACAGCAGCTAGGGATCCAAAACAAATCCGTGTATAGCGTTTGGCCACTCGATTCCAATGCAACAAGTCGCTTTTGAATATATTTTTGTTCACAACGAGAAGTGTATCCAAGAGGTAACGTACATAAACCGTTGCATTCAGTTGACCTAAAACACAGAATAAAAACATTATCACAGATATATATTGTAATAACATCTACAAAATAAGTGACATATAATAACATATTTACACAGCAGTTTTACTATTCTACGCTAGATGTCAGGAAAACGTAGTCGTTGATTACACTCAATAGATGTCACTTTTACAAATAAGCTATACTTTCATACATATATTTTTTGTATATTAATATACTTACGCGCAAATTTCAGCGCGTACAAGTTGCGTCATATTGTCTGCCATATTAACGACATACCGCCAGTTGCCCTTATTGTTAAGAGCGGCGCGCGGAGTAATAAACTGTGTTCTAACGCGACACAGTTCCAAAGAGTCCAGAGCCTGTCGCCTTGGCCTTTCTGCTAAGCTGTCCTCGCTGTATTAATACACAAAATATGTTTAAATCAGAGAAATTTATGATCAGTACAATATTAGACATTATCTTAAATGAACCGTGGTAGATCAGACGCTCGCTGTAAATATCACAGTATGCGAGCAAACCGGGTTCGATTGAATCGCCCCGCCGGCACCAATGAAATTGTTAATTGCAATTTTAAGAGCTGATTTACCACGTGCTCGGCGGTGAAGGAAAACATCGTGAGGAAACCTGCATGTCTGAGAAATAAGAAAAAAATATATATCGAAGACATGTAAAGTTATATTAACGTTACCAACAAGCATAGGGGCAGCGCGGCGCACACTACTTCCTTGTCCTAAAAACCCTCTCAGAAATGAGGAGAGGCCTGTGTCCACCAGTGGGACGTATATAGGCTGTAACTTTACTTTACTTTTTTATAACAATGGAGAGTAAGAAAATATCTGTTCCACTAGTCTTATAAAAATTATAATATTTTATCAAGGCAAGGATAGGTTCTTTAAATTTTTAATTGATAAAGTAGGTTGAGGAGGTTTTTATTTTAGGATGGATTTTATGGTCCCCTGCACCTTTAAATATTAAAAAAACTAATTATTTGATAACATTGGAAACATCACAATACAATAGGAATTTATCGATCGCATTCCATTTTGAGACGTAAAAGTGAAATGCATGGAAGATCGAATAATGTCCGATGGATGGCAGTATTACGATCTCGTTATATGCTAGGTGCAAAATACTCAGATCCTCAACCGCAGTTTTTATTTCTTTGAGTTCTTAACAGAAATAATGTGCTGTTAACTTCCTGTTTCAGTTTCTTTTCATCGCCTCTAACGACACCTACCGGATGATATGGAGTAGTGGATTAAGAGAATGTGAGTGGAAGCCGCAAATGCACAGTAAATCAAAATGATACAAAGTACAAACTGGAACGCAACAGTGGTTTTACCGTTGCTTGATGATAGTAATAAGTGTTTGGGTGATACCCAGACCGACTACTAGACTAGTAATGAGCGTTACCACGTACGAAAAATAGTGCAACCCTGCGGGTCCGCACTACAAACTTGCAGACTAAAAATTATTTACCATGTTTTGATAAAAATCTCTCACCATGTTTGGATTGCAAATTGTAAAATTTTGTTCGTTACCCATACTATTCAAAACAAAAGCTACTCGTCTAATATGATAAAAACTTTATTTTATGTATTTAAACTTCATACAGTATGATGTATGTGTATGCCTGTGGGATTCTCTACCAGTCAATTTATGAGGTGCTAATTACAAGATTTTTCATCGAATGAAGCCAGCCCGGCATCAATATAATTATTCATTCTCGAAGTATGCGAGGAAAATATCAACTATAAACGTACGTACCGTATTTTCAGGCAGACATACCCTAAAATAATATCATCTGACTCTGCAGTCTTAAGTAGAGCCCTTGAAATGCGATATGTCGAAAATTTATCTTGGAAAATCGGATCTACTACGATAACTTTCTATTGGATACTTAAAAATAGGTGATAATTTTTTTATAGCATCGAGCACACAGACCACTCTTTGGTCGCTTTAAGTAGACACTTTGGCCCATAGGCATCTACATATCTATCCTGAATTAGAAATCAAAATGCAGATGCGTTTTCATTCCTGAGTCCTGAGGAGTAAGATGGAATACCACATTTTCGGTACAAAAAGGCTCTCCGGTTCTCTACATTCACCATACGAAACAATGCAGCTTAAGCTGCTATTTCATGCTGATATACTGTGAGAGCGTTGTCCTTCCCCGGTCGAGCTTTAACCATAATATAGCCGTAAAATTGCTCTTCCATGTAAAATTAACCATTACACTGTTCCGTAAATCACATAAATACATTTCGATTGTTTAACTATTGTGTCTTTTTAGCGGACAGAGAAGTTGTTAAAATTTAGGAATAATAATAAATCGGAAAAAAGAAGAATAAAGATGAATATTTTTACTTGGCTAATCCCAAAGCTATCCTCAATGCCTCCGCGCCTGTCAGAGTTTTCTGTTCTGCAGTTTTCACGAGCTCAGCATTGCGTCGTCGCCGCGCCGGCCTGCGGATCGTTGTCGTGCGTGTCGGGAACGTTACGGATCGCTCGATCGTCACGTCGTCGGATCGTGTGGGTGTTATATACCTTTGGTGTAATAAAATTTTTTTGAGTTCTGTTTTTTAAACAGTTTGATCTGTATTACGGAGACGGAACAATAATTACTTGTAATGCACACAAGTACTTGTTCAATGTCAGATTCGAATTCACGGCTAAAAACTCAACTAAAAATTTAAATAGAACTTAAAAAAAACTTTAATAGAACTTAAAATTAAAAATGAAATCTCTTATAAATTTTATATTGAACCAAAAACTGCCTCCTTAGACTAGTGGTGGTAAACGGTTGCTGATCATGAGGTCCTAGGTTCTAGTCCCGGATCGGGTAAAAATCAGTAATCCGATTTTTCTGTCAAAAAATTCTCTGTAGCATTCCGGAGCTAGGAAGTTGGCACTGTTTCACCCCTGTGGCTAGGAAGCACGCCGCAGAACCCGTGCCTGTACCGTACCGTCCTGTACCGTCCCATCGGACTATGTGAGTGAGGGAATAGAGAGTGCACCTGTGCATGCGCATACACTTGGGCACTATAATCCTGTCCTGCGCAGATAGCTAGTCTCCATAGAGAGTGGCCACGGTGACCAAAATAAATAACCATGAGGGTCGTGGTTGTACAGGCGATTAGAACTCGCCGTAAATTTCACAGTAAGCTAACAACTTTGTTTCGATCCTCGCTGGCGTTAATGACATGCCTGACTAAGCCCCCGAAAAAATTAAGTAATAACTTCCGTAATAATAGTTTTATTCAATTATGCCTAAACACTCATACAGTATATTCAATTTTAAGACGCCGTTACGTCTCGTGCTGTCTCTATCACTTTAAGTCAAAGTGACTGAGACACCACGAGACTAAAGGACATTTTAAACTTCGGTAGCGTTTGAGCGTTTGACCAATAGTTAAGTGCAATTTTAAGTGCTAATATAGCAAGTATCCGGCGATGAAGGAAAACATTGTGAAGAAACATATCTGAGAAATAAAATATTTCGAGATGTCTGCTATAACGTGAAGACGTTTTACTTATCTTCAAATAAATAAAGTTAAAGCGTCTGATTTTAATGTCAATATAACAGCTTTTTGCTAAATGCATATGAAAGTATGTACGGTACTTATGACTATCAATTTTTAAAATTTTTGTCCATCTGTCTGTCTGTTTGTTTGTTCCGGCTAATCTCCGAAACGGTTGGACCAACTTTGACGGGATTTTCACTGGCAGATTGATTAAGTGTTATAAGGAGTAACATAGGTTACTTTTATTTCAGAAAAAGAATTAGGATTCAGCGAAAAAATTAAAACCTATGAATTTGTTAACAAAATCCGATTCAAATAGGGAAGTAGAAGTAGAATAATAAATTGCTAAAAGTTATTCTATGTGAACGTAGTCGCGGGCAAAGCTAATTCGTAATAAAGAGAATCTTGGTAAGTAAGAAGCTTTGCACTAGTCCAGGTGTTCCAAGATTATTTTGTGGCGGATATATAGTGACGTACTGACATAACCATTTCTAAAACTTATAGAAGCAAACATTTTAATCTAATATCTATTTTTTATGTGAATACAGCTTTGAAGTAAAGCCAAAATAATTAATATTCACTTTATTTTTCAGGTTATAAACTGCAGCTGTGTGCTATGTTAACTGCTGCATGAGCTTTGGCATATACATATCACAATTTTGTAAGTTTGTTGATCTAAATATTATCATTCTATTCTAACTTATGTTTAAAACTACAATATGGGGAAATATATCAAACTCTTCACCGAATTTCAACATGACATGCTTAAAGTTACTAATGAATAGGGTAACCTACAGCTGTAAGTAATACATTTATATTAGCACAACCGAAAATCTAAATAAAGCTATGACCTTTGTTATATTCACGTAGAAAACATAATAACATAGCAACTCACTTCCACCATTCATTAGGATTATACTGCGTCACACCGTGATTCGTAGGCTGGCTATACCAGTTCGAGTCGTAACCCTGATATAGATTAGGTCCGTTGAAAAACCCATGGTTATAGCCATCTAGGTTCTGGGCTACACGATGTTGTGTCAAGCCTTTCCTGTTATATTCATACTGGTTTGTTGGACTCCAGTAGCTGTTGAAACCGAATTTTGAGAAGTTGGCAGCTTGGTACGCGTCAATATTGTAGGGTACCGGATCTATTGATGACGGAGGTTGTAGTGGTGTTTTTTTGATGAGGACGTCTGAAAATAAGATGTAGAAAATTACAGATAGTGATCATGTCTTAATACTACAGCCTCGCATCGGTAGCTAAGTGCAGGTTGCCACCCTTCCTCAATAGAAAGAGTGATGACCTGGTGATATGCTGATGCTGATATGAGGAAATTGAAGAATGGAGGATTTTTTTTTATAAAACAAGGGGGACAAACAAGCACACAGTCCGTCTGACGGTGGTGAATAGGCTTCTGTGGCGAATAGGCATCTACATTTATTCTCGATTAAGGATCAAAAATTCAAATACGTCGTCATCCCTAAAAACCTAAGATGGATTTCCAGTAAAAAGGATCTACGGTTTTCTACACTCATCATACGTAAAACAGCAGCATTAAGCTGTTATTTTACGCTGCTATTCTGTGAGAGCGTGGTCTTCTCCAGTCGATCAGACCCATTCGTGCTACATCTATAATATAGGTGCATCATGGCTCTACCAAGTTTAAACTGTGGTTGCTGAAGACAGTGTTTTGTGGCATTCATTGGGGAAGGCCTTTGTTTAGCAGTGTGATCACGTGTGTAAAGATGATGATGATGTCTTCGTGGCCGACTTTGATCCTGCATTATCATGAGAACAGTTCCGATTTCTCGGATGTGGGGTTGAATAAAAATATGTTTGTTTAGTGGCAAAACATTTTATGTAAAGTTCACATTTATCCGATACAGATTTACTATCGCCTGTGACATGTTTTGTCGGATAGATGTCGGAGCCGCACGCTCTCCTCCTCTGGAGCCAGAAATCCTCGCATTTTTTATAGGATGGAGTAACAAACGATCAAACAGTCCACCTGATGGTAAGTGTTGCTGTGGCCCATAGACATCTACATCTATTCTCGATTAAGAATCAAAATGCAGATGCGTTTACACCCGTAAAGACTAAGATGAAATGCCTCGTTTCCAGTAAAAAGGGTCTTCGGTTCTTTACACTCACCATACGAATTACAGGAGCATTTAGCTGCTAATATAAGCTGGTATTCTGTAAGAGCGTGGTCCTTCCCCGGTCAAACCGACCCATTCGTGCTACAACTATACTACTAATATAACTGTAGCATGGCTCTACCACGTGAGTGTTTGTTTGGTGTTTGTATTTGTCAGTCTAACATCTTCTTACATATATCATAGTAGTTTTCATCGCATTTATATAGAATGTAAGATCATCAGTACTTAAATAAAACTTGTTAAAAGAAGAAGCTGCCCATTTTCTATTTCATTTCCTGTTTTCTTTTTTTTTTTTGAATAGGAGGCAAATGAGCACGCGGCTCACCTGATGGTAAGTGACTACCGCCGCCCATGATCAACTGCAATACCAAGCGGGTGCGTTGCCGGCCTTTTAGAAAGGAGTAAGTTCTTTTCTAAATGTTATGTTATGTAATTTCCTAAATATTATGTCATCCTAATTTCAATAGAGAAGATGGCTGGACGCTACCATCTGCTTGCAATAATATAATAAATTAAATTAAATCCCAATCCAAGCATACAATAGATACCATAAGTTCATACTGTGTAGATCGGAACAAAAGTAAAATTTTAATATATGGTAACCGCGGTTAACTATGACATCTGGACGTTAAACATCTCAGTCCCCCGTGTGACCATGGGTGCTGCAAAGTACTCGAAACTTCGGGTATTTAAAAAGTTAAAAATACGCGATAATTAAAAAACTGCAGTTGCCAACCCGCCTGCCAAGTCTGGGAACTTTCTGCCGCACTGAAATCTTTTATATACATACCATGGTTATATTGACCGTGATACTTATTGACGTCTTTTGGGTAATGCGCGTCATTCACCAGCGAAATTTGGTCGACGTGCGGCAGCGAGTTCGGTCCATACCCATACGGATAAGCGCCTTTCTTCTTCGACTCGAATTCATCGCGGCTTTCGTCCGACAGTAACGTCCGAATGTCGTACTGCCCGGCCTCTATCAGCTTGTGAATGATATGCCTGAAATCAGTACATATTTTATGTCAATAAAAATCATACATAGTCGTTTGCGTACCGTATAGTGATAGTGTAAGTATCCACTACGATATTTTATTCCGGAGGTGTCGTAAGAGGCGAAAGAGGAAAACTGAACTCGGACATGAGCAGCTGCATTTTCCCCACTCTGCTTGCCAAACGTGGCAACTATGGCAAATATCTGTCCTATAAGGTGATCTATGGGGAGGCCTGTGTTCAGCAGTTATAGTATAGTCGTTTGCACTAATGAATATAACGTTAAAATAACATCAGTTAAAACAACTATCCGATATGGGTGTCGTAAGAAGGACTCTGTGGAAATACCACAAATTCATAAAAATCTTATGCCACGAAGTAAAAGGCGGTATAGTCATCTCGTATATTTATAATTATATAATTTACCAGACAAAAATTCCCCGATCGGCCACGAGGAAGGAAAAAATGGTGCTAGCGGTCTAGGACCGCAATACCCAATTTGATTGCTTAGCATGAATAGCATGGCTATGATTGTAAATAAGGAAGGATAATAGGTGATGCACATGGTCCGTATTTATATGCGAGACCGTGATTTGTGACATTTTTTGGGGGAGCCATGTTCTCTGTAATAATTCTGTAATAATGGCTGTAATGATTACTACTTCTCCGATTCGGATCAGTGGAATCACTTGTTTTCGTTTAGATTTTGATTTAAGAATCTAAAGTAAAAAGAATTCTAAAATCCGCTTGATACGATCCGTCCGACGCGTACGATGCAAGCTTACTTCTCTAGTCTGTTCGCTCCGTATCAATGGACGCACTTGTATGACTTACTGTACAAATGATTCAATATTCAAGCGTTACTGCTATTTACAAAAATTTTGACTAAAAACTATTAAATTATGGTATCAATTCGATTTTTAAAAGGGCATTAAATTAAAAAAATGTAGAGCTAGACTGGCAAGTTTAAGCCTATTGAAACAAAAATATTCACTCACTCACTGTGTCGCAATCGGACTCTGCTGGGAGTTAATACTTGTGAGGTGAGACAAACGAGCAAAAAATATTCAAATACCTATATTGTGTCTACTAAGCTGAAGTTATTGATGAGTGCATTTCAAATATACAAGGTAATTTTTCAAAGAGAAGCCAAATTTTAAACTTAAGTTCAAATATATAAATAATGATATATGTAACGTCATTGCAGTTTGAAAAAACGAGTTAAAAAGATTGAACTTTTATTTGAAATTATCCCAAATTGATTGTGATTTATGGCATGGCAACACCGCTTTTGTCTACCGATCGACCCTTATGAATGTGTGCGTGCGCAGTAAAATCAGTTAAAATAATGCATTACCACGCATTTTGAATTTAAAAGATAAAAAGGACGAAATGTTTGAGATTTTTTTTCTTAATTATTCTTCACCATTTGTTTATGTTACTTATTCTGAATTGCAAAAGAACCCTGTATATAATTTGTATGTGATACATATGTCTATGTGTATGTATATGTTATGTTATGTATGTATATATTATAATGTATTTATTCCTTATAATTTATAATTTACTTATACCATATTACCAGTACTATCACTGAAACCAGTTCTTTTGGTAATTTCGGGCTACAGCGCAGTTTTTTAAGTGTATTTTGCCTAAATTTATGATATTGGTAAATATTTCATTTTATTTATCTTCTTGCTTATAACTACATTTTTGTACTTTCTTAGTTATTATTGTTTAGAGTGTATATTTCATGGCATGCATTTTTAAAATTCTGCTTTCCAACTTCTTTTACAGAAATAATACTTACTCCTTAATAAAAATACATTAGGTATAACGTTAGATTTCAGTTTTTTCTGATCTAGTTTTGTTTTTTGTATTTTTTATTTTTAACATTTTATAGCATAGATTCGTAATAAGATGGCGTTTTATACTCACTCTGGGTAAGGTTCTGGATGAAGGCAGTAGGTGAGGCCAGGTTGCGCACAGGGGGGCGAACGACCAGGGGGTGCGGGTTCAAAACCGCACTGCTGACCGTACGGGCAACTGTAGCCGTCCCCACCGCCCACTAGCCATATCATCTATCAACAAACGACATTGGCTTAGAAAGATTTTAAGCACATTGTAATATTTTGCAATTTTAATAAGCAAGTAGATAATTTAGTGTCTTGTATATGGGTCAAGATTATACTTAGGTTCGGGGACCACAGACTACGGTAGACCGGCTGAGAAACCATATGCAACAGTACAACGCCGTTACTGACTCGTTGGCCTAGTAGAGACATGAAGGTCCCGGGTTCGAATTTTTTTGTCCAGAAACTTTCAGTAGCTTTCCGGAGTCAGGAAATTGGCAGTGTTTCATCAGTGTGTCGTGGAAAACAAGAAAAGCCGTTAATCCTGCGCCTGTTTTCCCTCCGGTCGTGTAAAATGCCGTCACATCAGACTATGAGAATGAGGGGATACAAAGTGCACCTGTGTTCGTAGATACATGCATGCTTACTTTTGTTTTTGCTCCTGCGCATATGTGTAATCTCCGTTAAGATTGGCCTCCGTAACTGACATTCGGTCTTGAGGACATTACATTATTACAACGCAGATATCCGCAGAAACGGAGATTCAATTTATTAATCTATGTTGTTTCTCAGGTGAGAGGGTTACTTCATGATTTCCACATTTTCGAATTTTTCTATGCTCTGAAAGCATTTCACTAACATTAATTGGGGAAGTACCAATACCCAGAACCATGATTTGTAGACCATATAATCATATAAATACTTTATCCGAACAGGAGTTGAAACTGTCACCCGCGCCGTCGCAGTCAAACGTTTAGCCATTTTTACCTACCCTTCACACCACCGTTGTGGTACGGTTGGTCGAAAACGATACAACCAATACGAGTTGTTACTATTACCATTTATTAATTTATACGTGGTCAGCCACGCTGCAGCTATATTATGGTTATAGCACGCATGAGTCGGCTTGACCGGGGAAGGACCAGGCTCTCACAGAATACCAGCCTAAAATAGCAGCTTAATACTGCTTTTATTTCGCATGGTGAGTTTAAAAATTCGGAGAACCTTTTCTACTGGAATCGAGGCATTCCATCTTAGTCCTCAGGGATGACATCGCATCTGCATTTTGATTCTTAATCGAGGATAAATGTGTCTATGGGCCACAGCATCCACTTACCATCAGGTGGACTGTGTACTCGTTTGTCACCCTTATTTTAATCTATAAAAAATTGCTGTATAAAAATGGCATAGTAAAATAATTATTTATTACCAAACAGCATACGAAACAACTTGATGGCCCCACCAAGCACGCTGTCCATCTGATTGTAAGTTGATACTGTGGCATCCTTCATTGAAGATCGTTATCAAGGGTTGTCACTTAAAAGAAATGAGATGGAAAGCCTCTTTACCGGTTAAATCTCATCCAATTCAATCCAATTGGATCTAATGCCCATCTTATTTGTTTTCCTCTGTCGTCTTGTCTGTCTTACAATATGAGGTAATGGATAATCTTACACCGTCACTACATGGAAAACATAACATACAAAAATAGTAACTGTAATATAAGTTGTGTACTGAGTCATATCATAAGTATACTCCAAACAACCAACAACTTGTTTCAAATTCGGCTATACTTCGGATTTAAATGAATTAAATTTCACATTCGCTTTTAGTGAACTAAAAGCCTTTTAGTGACTCAAGTTGCACAACGCAATGTCTCTCACCGCCCGCATGATTAGGTTACGTAGCCTCCAGCTTCGATTCTCTCGCCTACATAGTTTAGAGACCTTTCTCAATAAAGATGACTACCTAGATTATTATATGGATTACTACGTGTAAAACAATTCGATCAATAATGTTGTACATCCTGCATGTCAAATTAATCAAGACGTCTCAAGGCAAGCGGATGGCTTAGCCGACGGGCGTTACGCGATTTTCTTTGTATCATTTTTTCATGATAATATTTTATCGTTATTTAATTATCTTAGGTATTATTGAGATATGTTTGTATATGTTCACTTTTTATATTATTTTTGTTTATGTTCCATCGTAGTGTTGTCACTGCCCTAAGGTTGTTTGGCAAATAATGCTTTTAGCGTAAAGTCCATCTTTTAATCCTGTACTATTTTGCAAGGTTCAATAAAGATTAAATAAATTATTTGTATACGAAATCTGAATATCGAAGTTGGGAAGTAAATATAATTAAAATTAATAATTACACTTTTTAAATTCAGTTCAGGGGAGCTACCTAAAAAGTTATTGAGTTTTGTAATAAGCGCTTAATTTAAAATTTTATTTGAGACACACCGATTGTAGTTCTTGCTGGTCCCAAGGAAATGTAAACGAAAATATTTTTATGGCATCTGTATGTCCAAGACTAACAAAATATTTCAAGAAATTGTGAATGCTAACACGCATTGAAACAACGTAAGAGGACAACCTAGCAGTGGGACGAATGTACTTTATAACATTTATACGTACAATGAGTAAAAAATAAATGCAAATTTTTGCAGGTTTTCTAGTTAGCCTACAAAAGAAGACTACAAATACGTTGTCACTTTTGAGGACTTAGATGGAATGCCTTTAATTATACTGACTCTTCAGCCCAAACAACAGCAGTGCAGCCATTATTGCATATGCCACTAAGCCACTATTGCATAGCGGCCGAAATAGGTGAAATGAGTACCTATCCAGACAGACTTCTAGTGAGAAAATAAGCCCCGCCACTTAGTAGTACTTTTTATTTTTCTCGCCCGCTATCTCTTATGAACTTGTACTAATAGAATCGTACCCAATGTGCCCAAGTTCACTTTCAATGTAGTCACTCCTACTTTTTATGAAACATATGTCAATGTCAATCTAAGACAGCAGGCGTCAAGCAATTTTTCGGCAAAAATATAATTACGCATTCTTATTCTAAGGACGCATTGTTTTCATTGTTTTCTCTGAATATTAAAACTATTTTAAAAGACTGTGATCGCACCAAAGAGATAAAATATGACTGTCAAACTGACATTTCGTTTGGCATTGCACACTACTCTCAAGTGCGATCTGTAGGTTGTGCAAAAATTTAATATGTACAAGTTTTTTCGTAAACTCTATTTATTGCATTTTTTATTCATAAAATAAACAAAATAATAATTAAAAAAATGGTAACGTGTCACGACAGTGTCAAATTGACGTTGACAGAGAGAAGTGAAGCAAAGCCATAAATTATTTTAGAATAGAAATTATATTAAATTTTATTCAATATAATACATAATAGTTATTGAAAGTCTTGTCTTATTACCTCTGTCCTGGGAAGAACCTATTATATTATATTATCAAACCCAGTTTGGTTCACAGTTGGTTATGTTCGGTTAAAACGTAGTGATTATATATACCTACCTTTTGTGTGTAAAAACTAGTTTATCTATAAAAGATAATTTTGGAAAAACTCTTCACTTAGAAGGTGTTACGTCTAGTTGTGGCCTGTTTGAAATGATGACAATGATGACAATAATTATTTTCAATATTGACGTAGACCTTTATTATGTTCTAACTCTATTTTTTTTACTCTTTCTTATGTTCTGATAGAACAAATTTCTGTTTTTATGAGGTGTAATAAAAATCCCTCTCAGAAGTGACAGGAGGCTTGTGCCCAGCAGTGGGACGACTACAGACTTATTGTAATTACTATCTTTTACCCGTAGCTCCGCTCGCGTTTAATTAAAATCCGACCAATTTTTTTAATTACCATGGATTAAAAATACTATGACTATAGACTAAAACTTTTTTATGCATTAAATTAATATAGCTTATATTCTGGTTTGTTATCTATAATATTGCCATTTAGTAGTAATCAAAATCCGTTTAGTAGTTTTAAATTGATTAAGTCAGAAAAATTCAAACAAACAAACAAACAAACTTTCTTTTTTTTTAAACTTTCACGTTTATAATATTATTGACATAAGATATTTTACGTCCAAAATTCTCAGAGCGGTTATTATATCAATGGCCACAATTTTAGACTCTAAAAAACGCCGTTAGTGGCGGCATAAGAAAATCTATCTAACGATATAATCCCGTTGCTGTCGTAAAGGATGACATAAAGATATAACCTATACTCCAATAGATGGCGGTATTACCAACTCGTATTAATATCAGACAGAGATCTGGTCGCGGATTACGGTACATCCAGTACTAAAATCGTCATAACTAGGAGGGTATGTGTGAAAATGTGTGTTTTGATCGGTTTTAGGAATTTGTTAGATATTTTTATAAGTCATTAGTATTAATGTCATTCTATTATTCAGGCTGTGAGAATAGAACATTACAACAAGCCTCGCGATTAACTCTATGACTTTTTTCATTGAAACCTACACATTGGAAACCGTGAGAAGCCGTTTCCATATGCAGGAGGCGAGCCAGATTAGGCAGTTAGCCGCTTTCGTTTGTGTGATCCGCATGCGTGATGTGACACCTTTGTAGATCATCTTGTACTTCCGTCCTGCTTTAGCATCCGAAAATGAACTCTAATTTACGTCGTTTATTTTTTATTTTATATTATAGAATAAGGGTGAGAAATTAACACAGTCCACCTTATGGTAAGTGGATGTTGTGGCCCATCGACATCTATATTTACCCTCAATGAAGAAATAATATGCAGATACGATATTGTCACTGAGTTCTGAGATGGAATGCCTTGTTTTCTTGTCTACTCACACCATACGAAACATGAAGCTGCTATATTAGGCTGGTATTTTGTGAGAGCGTGGTCTTACGCCGGTCGAGCCGACCCATTCGTGCTAGAACCATAATATAGAGATGCACTACACGTGTTTTATTTCGAAATTGCTAAACCATGGAGTTTTGAACGAATTTATTGACCAAAAACCTTCCAATAGATGACGATATAACTCCTAGCTTAGACGTTTCTGAATTCCGAGACCACAAGAAATGTTTTCTCGGTTTTCACACTACAACAGGATTTTTTTCCTGATTGCATGCTGATGAAGAACCAAACATCTTGACAAACTGTCATATTTTATATTAGCAATTGTGTTGCTTGTTACAAATAGCAATTCTCA